AGCTAGATACAAACCCTAGATACACCGGGTAGATACAAACCCTAGATACAACCGCTAGATACAAACCCTAGATACAAACCATAGATACACCAGCTAGATACAAACCATAGATACAACAGCTAAATACAAACCCTAGATACACCAGCTAGATACAACCGTTAGATACAAACCCTAGATACAACAGCTAGATACAAACCCTAGATACACCAGCTAGATACAAGCCCTAGACTCAAAAACAATGGGCCGCGGAAATGTGTATATGCTGGGACCTACCTACACCTTGAACCAAAATAGAGTCTCAGGCATATTACTACATCTCACATGAAGATGCACGGACAAGCCGTAATAGCAGTAGGTACACACGACAAACACATACACGTACACTTACACATACACGTACACATACACTTACACATACACTTACACCAACACACACACGTACAGTACACCCACACCTACCAACCCCTGGGCCTTCTGCGTGTGCAGAGTGCCGTCTGTGGCTAGCAGTGAGGTGTGCATGGCGGCCTTGATCTCCTCTGCTGTGCGCGTGTAGTTCCAGATTCTGTGGGCAATGCCAACCAGTCCAACAGTGGTGTTCAATATACGTGATTTAGGGTATGAAGCTTTTACAGGATTTAGGGTTTTTAAAGATGAGGTTTTTCTAGGGTTTTATAAACCTCGATGGTAAGACATGCGGCAGCAACCACACACACAGAGGACGACTATACTCAACTGCATCGCATGGCATTGGAGCAAAACGCAGGAACCGAATTCCATGATACGGACCCCAAAACCCTAAAACCCGTGACAGACCTATGTGTCGGATTGTCCTATGCACGACAACTGTCTGACAAGCCTAAAGATGTACGACGGGGCGGGGTGAAATGGTGTGGTGTGGTGTGTAATAGCCTACCTGACTTCGTCCACTAGGCCCTTGAGGTAGACGCCCGCATTGAACATGCTGGTGCAGATACTCAGCCCCTACAGAACGTATGAACGCGCACAGGCGCACAAGTGTATGTAAGTACATCGCACAAGTGTAGGTAAGTACATCGCACAAGTGTAGGTAAGTACATCGCACAGGTGTAGGTAAGTACATCGCATAGGTGTAAGTAAGTACATCACATAGGTGTAGGTAAGTACAACGTACAGGTGTAGGTATGTACAACGCACAGGTGTAGTTAAGTACATTACATAGGTGTAGGAAAGTACAACGAACAGGTGTTGGTAAGTACATCGCATAGGTGTAGGTAAGTACATCGCATAGGTGTAGGTAAGTACAACGCACAGGTATAAATATGTACAACGCAATGAGGCAACTAGACTGGCACAGTGTCAGTGATCACGCTGACCGCCTATAGTGTCTATGATATGAGATAGCATTTGATTGGAGCAGAGATGACGGAGTGCCCAGAACGACACCCAATCAGACTCAACGACGAATCAGCGTATAGGCGACTGTAGCAGCGGCGCAACACAGAGACGCATATGTAAGCAGCCAATGACACCATGACATGGTAGGTAATTCTTATGCGAAGTACATAGCCCAGCTGCAGTGTGTAGGTAGGTTATGCAAGGTGTGCCTATGAACTCATACGTGTGTGCACATACACTGAAGTAAGTGGTAGGCATGTATATGATACATACATACAACACACACGTGTACGTACACAAAATTAAGTGGTAGGCATATTTATGATGCACACATACAACACATACACTGAAGCAAGTGTATGCATGTGTGCAATCTGCGCGTATCACACATGAATGTGCACGCGAATGTGCCTGAATCAGAGGTGTTTGTGTGACACATGAATGTGCACGTGAATAGGCCTGAATCAGAGGTGTGTGTGTACGCTATCACATACCTTGACCATTGCACCTGTGCTGTCTTTGCCTACGCCATCGTGATTGTGTGAGGCAGAGGTATCCAGATTGCCATTGATGAACACCTTCACTTCTGTGCCAGCCACCTGGCGACCATAGAAGAGTACGGGAAGATGTAATATAACATGAGAAGATGTAATATAATACAAGGACATTAGACACGACACGATATGAAGCAACACAAAGCAACTCACTTCATGGTGAATACAAATATAACATGTCACAGACGCATGGATACATATACCATGTGCTTGTATTGTGTAGATATATATATATAAAAATATATATATATATATATATATATATATATATATATATATATATATATAT